CTTCCTTCCTTCCTTCCTTCCTTCCTTCCTTCCTTCCTTCCTTCCTTTCTTTCTTTCTTTCTTTCTTTCTTTCTTTCTTTCTCCATTGCTGGCTTGTAAACTCTGGCTGTTCTGTCTAATTGTTTCAGGTCTGGTTTCAGAATGCCAGAGCTAAATTCAGGCGGAACCTTCTACGCCAGGAGAACACAGGGGTGGACAAGACCTCAGACTCCACCCTACAGACGGGGACCCCATCGGGCCCAGCCTCAGAGATTTCCAACGCATCCATGAGCCCCTCCAGCACCCCCACCACCCTCACGGACTTGACTAATCCCACAATGCCAACTGTGACATCTGTCTTAACTTCCGTGCCTGGGAGCCTGGAGGGCCATGAGTCCAGGAGTCCTACACAGACAACTCTTACAAACCTTTTCTGATGACGCTTTCCCAATAATTTCTTTAAAAAAGAAATTATCCTTTAGTTGAATTCCAAGTGTATTTTAAATAGAGGCTTTGAGCAACTAACTAACCACATTTTAGGATCTCGCCTGGAAACAGAGGGGGAAAATGAGTGTTCTGGTAACTACAGAGTGTGGACTGAAAATTAACTTGGAAGATCTATCCGCAACACAACATTTGTGTAACTGTACAGTTTTGTGGACTGACTGAGCAAGGAAAACAAGAATTAATTTAAGTTGGCTAGAGCTTCTTGTATTTCAAAGACTGCCACGTGCCTTATATACTGTTTTATCTACATACTGGATTTCCCATGTCCATTTTCTCTCTTGCCTCCTTTTCTCTCTGTATATTTATGACCAGAGCAAAAATGTTTAAAAAAAAAGTTTGTTACTTTGAATAGTTCTACAAACAAGCAAACAAAAAACATAGACACAGACACACACACAGACACACACACAGACACACACACACACACACACACACACCACACCCCTTCATTGGTTCTGTTGTTGTTTTAGAATTTTAAGGTGGACGTCTGTTCGAATATCAGAATTTGTAAAATCTAACCAGTAATAAAACCACTTATCGAAACTACTGGGTAACTGGCTGCAGTTCAGTCTAGCAAAGATTTCCTGGGACTAATACCTCTAGCTAAACTGGAAAGTCAGACAGATGGCCTGCAGCCATTCCCTCCAGGGGCTCTGGGGGTTGTATTTCCCAGTCTCTTTTCTCCCTGACTCCTAAGATGTCTGGGATACATGTAGAGATAGGAAGATTCTCTGCCTGCTGGAGATCCTGCTTGAAAGAGGACAAGGTATTTTCACTGCCCCAGAATGAAAACATCCAGAGAGGAAATACGAAGTGTAAAGAGAAATAAGACAGGAGTCAAGGAGGTCTGAATTCTAATTCCTCCACTCTGCTACTAACAGGCACTGGGACCTTTGGAAAGTTACTTCCATTCTCTGCAAAAATAAAGGGGTTGAACACATGATCTCCAAGGTCCTTCACAATTTTTAATTTCTGTGTCCTCAGGTCTCTTTGCTAGCTCTGACATTCTATTGTACAGTCCTTCTCAGTTCTGACATTTTGTTTCTAACATTCTGTGTTCTTGGGATCATTTTAGTCCTAACATTTTCTGTTCTAACATTCTACATTCTAAGGTCCCTTCCAGTTGTAACAACATTCTATGACTCTTTGAAGTGTTTTAGGTTCAAAAATTTTCAAGGAGATGTCTGCTAAACATTCAACAGAAGGGAAAAAACAGTCACTGGGAGGTCCAGGTAATTTTAGATTGGGGGGGGGGTAGTTGTGGCAGGAAAAGGAAGATAAAGCACGTATTCCTATAAGATGTAACACAACCTAGCCACTCTCTTGAAAAATGAGAAGCAGACAGGAGACCAGCTTGGTAGGGAGAAGTAAGAGATGGGGAGAGCCAAATTTAGTAGGGTGGAAAATATCAAATGGAATGAGATGCCAGTAATAATAATTAACATTTCTATAGCATTCACGTGGGGCAGTTTTGCCTAGTGGCTAGGCAGCTAACCCTGAAGACAGGAAGATCTGGGTTCCAGTTCCACCTTTTGATGTGTGTGACTCTGGGCAAGTTACTTAACCTCCTAGTGCTCTAGGCAACTGTCTAAGACTAAATTATGGAGGAGGTGCCAACCTTCATGGCTAGAAGGAGTTTGCTCACTAAGAAGTTCTGTATGCTAGTTAAACAACAAGTCTAGTCCCTATCCTTATCATGCTTTAAGGTGTACAGATCACTTTGCTCACAATCCTGTAAGGTTGGTGATGCATATTATCTTTAGTTTAGAGATGAGGAAATTGAGATTCAGAGAATAGAAGTGACAACAGCCAGGGTCACACAACTACTGAGTGCCAAGGTCAGGATTCAAATCTCTGGCTTTCTTAACTTCAGGTCCTGATCTCTTTCCATCTGAGGCATCAGTCAGCTGCTCTTGCTGCTATGAATTACAATATAGCCCTGGGGATTCAACAAACATTTATTATTAAGCACTTACTATGCATAATAGGGCACTCCAATATATCAAGGACCTGTGATTTCAATCTTGTGAGAATCACTCCTTCCATATCCCTCCAGGCAGGTGGAAACCCTTTCTCCAAGTTAGAGTCCTAAGAGAAATGCCTGAGGCTCAAAGAGTTTGAATGACTTACCCATAGTCATACAGGTAATCGATGTCAGAGGTTGGATTTGAACCCCAATCTTCTTTGGATGCAGCACTCTTATTCAATGCACTCCACTACCCTTTAGGTGCTTAATAAGTGTGTGATAGATTGCATATTCCTTTGGCTATACTCTTTAGGTCAAAGGAGATAATGTATGTGAAAGCACTTAGGTACTGTATAAATGTGTTATTAATGTTATTATTAGAGAATTAATTTTCTTTTTTCCTTCATGAGTTTGTCCTATTTTCAAAATATGTGTTGAATATTTGAAACAGAGCTCTGCTACTTGTTACCTGTGTGATCTTGGAAAAGTGACTTAGCTTTTTTTTTTCAGAAGCCTTAATTTCCTCATCTGTAAAAAGAAAGGATTGCATTAGATGATTTCTGAAGTCCCTTCCAACTTTAAAATATATGGGTAGCGTACATCTATCCTTTAAAAACAAAAAGTGGTCGGAATCCGTGTATCTGGTTAAAGGGATCCCAGCTGTGCAGGCAGGTGAAATAACTCTCATAGGAAATGCTAACACCTGCCCAGGTGGATATCAGTGATCCTCCGCATCCCTCTACCTCCTCAGCTACATACCAAAGAGAAAGAAAAAAGGCTTTCAGCCCATCGCATTGTGAATTCGATGGCGCAGAAATTCGGAGGACTGAGGACGGTGACTGAGATGGGAGGGCTAATCTTCTCCGGACCAGATGTACTCAAAGAGGAAACAGCTGAAACGAGTCTGGTTGCCTTTCTACCTCTTTAAACCCCCCAACCCTTCATTCTGGAGAGTTCTGCCGGGTTAAGCCGGCGCAGGAAGAACGATTGAGTCCATGGAAACATAGTCTTTCCTAACAGCTGCAAACCCTGGACATGGTAACCGATTTCAGGGATTTTTCAATCAGCTTTCCTGCCCAATAAGCTACTCCTCTTTTCCTACTTGTCCCCTTGTCCTTGTCCCCTGGGGTAAGGGTTGGAGACAGCTCGGAACCCTTGGGGAAAGGAGAGAGGAGAGTCAACTCAACCTCGACCCTCTCCGGTCTCACTACTCCCAAGAGGGCTGTAATAACGTCAACTCCCATTTTCTAGAAATGGGATTTTAATGGCTACACAGGGCAAGGATTATTAGTTCCATATTACAAGTGAAGAAACTGAGGCTCAAATTTCTCTAATAATAACATCTTTCTATAATGTTTTACTTCTTGTGTAGCAATGTCCTCGATACAACCTTGTGTGAAGTGCAGTTGATTATTTCCATTTTACAGATGGGGAAACTGAGGCTTATTTTAAAAATATTGTCAATTTTATTGATAATAACTCACATTTCTACAGTGTTTTTATTGTTTGCCTCACAACTAGCCTTTGGAGGAGGTAGTGCAAATTTTTTCTTTTTATTTTATAGATGAGGAAACTGAGGCCCATCAAGGAGGAGCGGTTTGCCTAAAGTCATACAAAAGTTTACTTGGTAGTCAGAACTAGGAACCCAGGTCTTTGGGCTACAAATTTAGGGTGCTTTGCACTACACCAAAGTGTAGGTCAATTCGTACTATCATTTCTCCCTGCTCCTAACCCTTTCTTCCACCTAAGCCAAGAGGTTGGGGGCACTGCCCCTTCTTCTTTATGCACTTCTAGGACCCCTAATTTCGTTGGGGAGAACACAACCCATACAGATGCTGATCGAATCTCCTCCGCTCCCAAGTAGACAGTCTGAGGAAGCTGCATTGGCCAAACAGTTCATCACCTGGCAGGCGACCTTTTGGGACCAGCAGGCCATTCCACACTGTCCGGCCCTCTGCAGCAGCCATACAGCTCTGCATCATCTTGGACGCTTTTTCAGCTGGGTTGTCCCAGTTGGGGTTTGGTCTCCAACGGCTTGTCTAGGAGGGCACCATGGGGTCACGGTCACTCCAATAAGAGGCCTCTTAGGAGAACTTTGGTCCAGCCAAATTCTTCTTCTTGAATAAACGGTTAGTGAGATAGATGTCCGATTGAAATTGGAAGAAGTTCAGTTTATGTAAATGCACACCCAGGGCTGGGGGCCTGGGGGCTGTAGCTCAGGGGGAGGGGAGAGGAAGTGTTTCCCCTCAGGGAGCCAATAAGGGGCGAAGCACAGGCCTACAATTAAGTAATCTTTTTCCTCCTTAGTCATGCAAGCCGCCTGGGTAGCACCAGAAGGCCTGTAGTATTCTTTTTTCTTTCTTTCCTTTTTTCTAAAGAATCTCCCTCTCCTTCCATCTCACCTTAGTCCTTTGTAATTATAGAAGCCTTGGGCTACTGACCTGGGATGTGTGTGAAGGAATGAGTAGAGGTCATAGAATCCTATAAATTATAGGGATTTTGAAGTAGACCAGGCCTTAGAGAACACTTAGTCTAAATTCCCTCTTTCAAATATATGTATATGTGTGGTTGCACACACATACACACACGAAACTGAGGCTTTCCTTCTCGAAAAAGGAAAGTGACTAGCTCAAGGACATAGGCTGTATATAGCAGAAAAGGGGGAGCAGAGTCTAGGGACAGACTTACCTTTACTCCACTACAGCGTGCAGCTAGGCAAAGTGTAAGCATAGGTGTGGGGAGTTTCAATCCCACAGGCAACTTCAAGTTTCTGCCACAAATTCGATAAGAGAATCCTTTCACTTTTTCTGCTGCTTGGCTTCCAGGTAATTGTAAAAAGACAAAATCACCTGCTGAGTGGGGGTCCCTAGGATAAGCGCCAGATTGGAGTTTAGAGATCTCCCCTTCCCCCAATGACCCAACCTTCGGGACTACAATTCCCACCTTCTTCCCTGTAGCTCATCTGGCCAGCCCGGGATTCTAGAATATTAATACTAGCTCATATTCACATAGAGCTTTTCCATAGGAAGAAACGAGTTGAGAGAGATGAGAGAATCATAGACTGAGAGCTAGATGCTTGAGGGATATTAGAGGTCACCTAGCCCAATCTTTTCAATTTACAGGTGAGGGAATTGAGTCCCAGAGAGGTGAAATAACCTGCTGAAGATCATGCAGGTGTAAATAGCACAGCGGGGGCTCGCCCCCAGGTCTGCTTGTTCCACTGTCAGAGCTCCTATACCAGCTGCTCCTATACCTGTTCCTGCTCCAGCTACCCCATGAAGCCTTGCATATGAATATTCTCGGATCCTGGCTCAATCATTCTCAGATCCCGGCTCTGCCCCACTGAGAGGACATATTCCTCTTACAGAGAGCTGCAATGCTCTTCCA